AAATTTTATTAAAAAAATTTATATTTTAAAAAATTTTGCAGGCAAATTTGGCTGCAAAACAATTTAAGGGATAAGATTTGGGGATTTTATTATTTTATAAAGCAAAGGGAGCATATGGCTCTCAAGGGCCATTTCGACCTTTATTTATAATGTTCAATTTCATCAATTACAAATGTAATTTTGTATTTACTATTTAATAAACTATACAAAGTTATATATAATTACTACTCTTATATTTATTTTAGAATATTTAATTTGTGTTTACATCCTCTCTTTATCCTCCTATATACTCTTCTGAATCTAAAATGCCATTCTTGATCAAGAATGTAATAAATTGCACTTCGTGCATTTTTCACGTGACCAATTACCGGGTCTCTGTGTTACATTCTGGGACTCACAATATATATCATCATGATATAAACATGTAGCAATCTCTTAAAACATTGTGATTTACATAAACTATGAAGTGTTGGGTTTAGAAAACTGCGACTCTGTCACTCCACAATCCAAAAACTCGCGTGTTAGATTTGGCTGGTGGGTGATTAAGGCTTCGGTTACTTGGTCAACGAAAGAGGGTCAGTTAAGACACGTGATCAAGCAATCAAGTGAACGATTTTATTAACGTTATTAGGGTTATTAGGGTTATAAGGGTAGTGTATTATTATGGGCGATTTTTATAGAATAGGGACTTATCAATTAATAAAGCAACGAGCGATTACTGCTCTTGAGGGCCAATTCGGCCTTTATTTATATTGATTATTTCCGTCGCTTACAAATGCGACTTTACATTTAATATTCTATAAAACTATTTAAAACTGTTTTCAATTATTTCCCTAATATTTTTAAGGATGGTTAATTTGTACGTACATCCTCCCTTTACTTTCTATCTACCCCTTCGCATCTGAAATACCGTTTTCGATCATAAATGGCATTATTTGCACTTCGTGCATTTCGTGCATTTTTCACGTGATCGATCACGGGTTTCGGGTCTCACAGAAGCATACGTGCATTGCTAAGAAAGGCAGCTCACCTCTTATGACATAGTACCGTAATATAATGATATAGTCTGTAATATTAAAATCAAAGTTCATAAAATGATGTAAAAATGTTAAAAAAAAAGAATTCTAGAATACAGTATACATATTTGTTTATTAATTCGTCGCAATCAACTGTCAATTATAACAGTATATTGTGCATTCTATATATAGCGTAGAATTATCGATTCGACTTTCTACAGTTGTAAAAATATCCCTTTAAAAAATTTTTTTTTTAAATGCATTACAGATCATTAGCAACATTTCTCTCTATAACTTGGTTTTCGCTCTCATTTATTGTAGAAGCTCGTTTAATCAACGGTAGTGACAACAATGCTATAAATCCAACCGCTGGAACTCCACGTCAACCTTTTTTGCCATTAATTTACTAAATTTCAAGTATTAAATCTTTTTAATTATGTATTTGATTTATATGTCTTCAAATAATAATGCTAATTTATAATCTAGTCAAAACTATTCTCCTGTAATGTCGCCCACTGATTTTCTTGGTTTAAACCCGAGTGGTCCAACAACTATTAAATGCACTGATAGCTTACCTGCAGGGCTATATCCTATGCCAAGGTGCATAACAAATGTAATTTGTAAATATAATGTCCCACCTTATGATGTTAACGCATTGTCAAGTTATCGTTCATTGAGGCGAACTAGCCATTTCGTAAGTTATGCGTGAATTTATAATAATTGTGCATCGTAAAATTTTAATGTTTTCATATAATACTACAGGCTACATTATTTGGTCAATATATTTCGTTTGATATTACGATTTCAAAGAACACGAATCCAACATATCCAATGTTCTTACCAGCAGATGAAGTAGAAAAGGATGTAAATAAGGCATTTACCTGTTATCAAAATTCTGTGAGGCCTGGTGATGCTGATGAAA